CCTGAGGACCGCTGCTTGCCTGCCTCACCACTCACCCCCAAGCTGATCAGGCCTGAAGGGCTCAGGCTCTCGCTGGGTCAGGACTGGCAACTCCTCGCTGCTTCCGAACTGTCTCTCCCTCCCCGTCACTCGGTCCAGTTGCTCAACTCCGCCTTTGATGTTCAGGGCTCCCAGACTGCCATATATAATTGATTCACTTGTTTCTTCGGGTCTTTGCTGTAAGAGGGTCCATTGGAAGCGTCTGACTACTCCCTGCCTCCTCTAGTCCCTTTCTCTATTTCTTTATATAACTAAAGGCTAAATTAATCTCAGAAAGATAAAGTAAAAACAAAACATAAAAGGCAAAGTATAGAAATAGCACAAAGTGTGCTATAATTTTTGCTCACACACACAATATATATGTCCGTGTGCGTGTAAGTGTGTGCGTCTGTGTGTGAAATTTCTCTGGAAGTAAAAAGAAGACTGCTAACATTGACTGATAGCATTGACTGATAACATTGAGGGGGAAGGGAACTGGGCAGTCAGGAACAAGGAAGTGAAACTTTTCATCATACATCCTATTTGAACTTTGAATCATGTGAATGTATTACCTATGCAAAAACAAATAAGATAAAAAATAAAACATAAAAAGACTAATGCAGGCTCTGGATCAAATATTTCAGGTTTCTCTGGTTAGCTCCCTCTCTCTCTCCCAAATGTCACAAAATGAAACTTACATCCGTCATCTCAGGTCCTCCTACCCCCAGCCAATGACCTTCTTCATCCATGACAGAGAGCACTGAGTACTTGTCACATAGTTCAACACTTCCTTCCCTCACATCAAGAAGTATCCTGGGCATTCAGGTCACTTGGACTCAGCACCATCCAACAGCAGAGCATACCACGCTCCCCTCCACACTAGTCTCCTCTGGGTCTTTGTTCCATCAAATATTATTCCTTTCCCTGTTTTTCAACTTTTCTCTAGATTGGCTCTTACCATTTTACTAGAAATATGCTTAAGCTTCTTTCATCTTTAAAAAGAATTAAAAGACAAAAGCAAAAACCAAAAACAAAATGTAAAGAGCCCACTTTTCTTGATCATCTTCTCTGGTTACAAATCTCTTCTTTCCTTTCTTTCACAGCCAAAGTTCTTGAAAGAAAAGTCTACATTCACTCTTTATTTCCTTATGTCTCACTCAGTTTTCAATCAGAATTTTCGCCGTAGTACTCCATTATTCCAATCTGTTTCAGAAAAGGTGTTAAGTGACCTCTTAAATGACAACCCTAATGGCCTCTTTTTAGCTCTCATCTTAGTTGACCTCGTGGCGTCTGATATGGAAAATTCTTTTCCCTTAAGATATTCCAGTAACCACCTATCTCTGCAACTGTTCTTTCTCAAATGTTTTGTAAGCACCCTCAGCCTACTCAAATAGTCCCTTAAGGTTCTGTTTTAAGACCTATTCTCACTCCAAAAGATTCATCGTTTTTGGGATGTGAACACCCTTTTAAGATTCCGATGAAAGCCATGGATCCCTTTTACCAGAAAAAAAAAAGAAAGAGTCCATGTATTCAAATCTTGTACAGAATTTCAGGGAGGTCCAGAGAACCAATCAAGTTGCCCACGAATATCCAGTTAGGAATCCCTGTTTTATACAAGGAATCAATTAAAAAATAAGAGAAGTCTTCATTTTCATCTTTTCACCACAGATTCTACTCTTTCAAATACCCTCTTCTGTACCAGTTCCCAAATAAGCCTGAACTTGGTCTAGTAATGGGTAAACCTGAATAGCTCATTATCCAATTGGTTTTGCTCAATAAAGTATAATAACATACACATTAACTAGTTCAGTATATATACACATATATATACACACACATATATGTGTATATATATATATAAGCCTGCTTTACACGCTCACCCTGGGTGATTGTTCACTACCATTGCTCTAACAACAACCTCCTATGATGACGACTCCCAAGCTTATTTTGTGCCTTTATTTTCAAGTCCTTTATATTTAATACTTACTGGATATTTCTTCCTAGATATCCCAAAGGTATCTGAAGATATAACATACCAAAACCTAAACTCATCCTCTTTCCCTCAAAACCTAGTTCTCCACCTGCAATCTCTTAGTGAAAGGCACCATTAACCACCTAGTCACACATGCCAGAAATCTGGATTATTTTTTGACTACTCTCTCTCTCTCGTACTCTTTTTTCCTTAACATCTCTAGAATCCTTTCTACTTCTTCATCCCCACTGCTACTGCCTTAGTCCATGTTCTCATCATCTCCTACCTGGATGATGATAATTGCTATATTATTATTATTATAAAAGAAATTGTAACAACTTCCCTTTACTGGGTGCCTACTACGTGTCAGATACTGTACTAGGTTCTTTATACATGATAACCCTGTAACGTTTAGAGGGTTACATCTAATTTTATGGAGCGGACCTTAAAGTTCAGAAAGGCTAAGTTACTTTCTCAAGTTCACAAAACTAGTAAATGGTAGAGTCAGATTTTGAATCCAAAACTAAATGACTTCGAAAATTGTATTCTTAATGACTAAGTTATACTGTTATAATCTTGTATCCTTTTAATTCAACCAAAACACTACTACCAGAGTAATCCTTCCAATTTACAAATCACATCTGCTTAGCATTCTTCAATGACATCCACATTCATTAGCAGTGGTTTCCAAATTGTTTTGATCATGCATCCCTATCAAAATGTTGAGATGCACTCCCAAAATAGGTATATCTTAATTAATACTGCATGTATTATAAATTTTCTGAAATATAAATTAAGAATGATGGAATTGGAAATATACAAATAGACATTTTAATATTTTCTTCCCACACTTCAACGGATTGACTTCTGGGGCAAAAATTAAAAAAAAAAAAGTATATATGAAACAATTGGTCTACAGGGTAAAGTGAAACTCCTTAGGGTCAGATAAGGTCTTAGGGACTTGGTCTCTGCTCTCTTTATCTTTCAAACACACTCTCTCTGTGTCCTACTTCATACTAGTCTTCAATGATGGAGCTCATCCAATGCACTTTTCACACTTTTTTTGAAGCCCTTTGTCCCCTTCTGCACAAATCATCTTTGCCTCTCTCACTTCCTTTGACCCTCCTTGTTTAATAAACACCTATTTATTTTTTAACACCCAGTTCAAGCTTCTCCATGTTGCCTCTTCTGGCTTCACCCTACACCCAGTTAGATTTTCTACTCTCCTTTCTGTTCCTATTTTTACATAACCTATGGCTGCACAGACTTCTAGCCCAGTACTACTCTGCTTATTCATTCACATGAGTATCTTTCATCCATATTCTACCAGACTAGATCTTTGAGGAAGGGACCTTTGGTCTGTGTATCCCAGGATTGGCATAACATCTGGCACTCAGTAACAAAGAATAAATGATCTCAACATCAGGACATTGGTTATATCATTTCCATTCTTACCTACTTATACAACAGAGTCTCTGGTATATTACAAGTGACATATATACTTCCTTTTTAATGGTAAGAAACAGGTTTAGTAGTGACTAAACGTGTCAAAAATATCTGATTTTTAAGAATATGGATAAAACGAAAATTAGATGTTAATGATTAATTGCAAATGTTACTTTTCTCTAAGCATTTCACAGATTTGCCATTGGATGAACATTCCAATAAAATATGAATTTTATATATTTGTTTTACTATCTTTTCTATGTGTATTGTTGATTCTGAAATACAGCTTTTTTGATGCCCAACAAAACATCTAGCCATGATCTTGTGACTCTCACAAAATGACTGGGTGGAACTATGCAAATAAGGCGTTTGTGGCCCACAAAGAGGATTGGACAGCCTGCTAATAATGTAAATAACGTGCATGGAAACCTTAAGGGGACAGGACCATACAAATAAGATGTATGGAATCCTAACGAGGGGACCTCACTACCATCAAGAAGAATTGCCAAGAGTACAGCGCATCCTTTAGACCCAGGGTCCCTATGCTGAGAACCTCCTAGACCCAAGAGAGAGAGACAGCAGTAACACTGTAGGTGGCAGTGGCATTAGACAGCAGGAACCAGGAGACTGGTGCAAGATAGTGCAGTGGGCTTCCCAGCCCACGGAACCAGGCGGCTACAGTGCGTGTGCTGATCCACGGAGAGAGCTGAGCACCTTCAGGCAGGTGGCTTCCTGGCGGAGTAGGGGGCTTCCAGGCGCTTATTGGTGGAGCTAAAGAGCTGTGTGACACTTGCCCGAGCAGGGCAGAGGCTGGGCCAAGGGCCAAGGGCCAAGGGAGAGGCCTGCTTGTGGGCATGGCCGAGAAGAAGCTGTCCTGATCGAAGAACTGCATCCTGAGTTGTTCCTGTTACTTCCAAGTTTATCCTGATCTTGCATTAACTGTAGCCTGTTACTTCCCTAATAAACCCCATAACTGAGAGTATGGTCTGTGAGTTCTGTGTGGCCACTGCAATGAATTACTGAACCCAGCAGAGAAGTACAGAGTGTCATGGGAGGGATAGCTGGTGTAAGAACTGGTAAAAAGGTTGGAGAGAGGAGGTATGTATGACCCCTACCTCAGAGAAATAGGCCCTGGGCTGATGCTGATAATGATTCCCCTATCTTGAAGTCAGAGGAGCTCTGGCACTGCCACAACCTTCTTACACTATCTTTTATATATTTATTTCCTACCCCTGCTGGCTCAGTGGTGAAGACCTCAGCTGCTATCCAGAAGGTCAGCAGTTCGAATCCACCAGCCGCTCCTTGGAAACGCTATGGGGCAGTTCTACTCAGGCCTATAGGATCGCTATGAGTAGGAATCAACTCGACGGCAATGAGTTTGGGTTGTATGGCATAATAAAATGGAACATATAGAAAACTACTATGATTCCATGAACTTAACTGAGTTTACTGCTTCTTTTGTTTTTATATAAAATTATAAAATTAAAAGTAATAACTACAAGTACTTTTCTCCCCCAAACTTTGAAAATGGTAATCAAGTTCATCAAAAGAATTTGAAGGATACCATTGTAGAAGATGCTTTTGTCCATTGGTTCCATGAATTCCATTCCAAGAATTCTTTCAAGAAGCAACTTGTCTTTTATAAAGTAGTCCATTTCCTTATGAACCTAATAGAAAAAGAAAGTCATTTCAAACACAGTAGTGAAATAAATACGTTCTCATTATAAAATCAGGAGAGAAAATAAACAGTACACAAAGAAAATCTTTTCCTCAAAAAAGACTGAATGTACTACACTGAACTTTGTAACAAAGCTCTCTTTAGTAAAGTTTTAAATTTTAAATGCCCATGAGTAGTACTTAGGGCTAGATATACTGAAAATCAATTTATAACAAGCTTTTCAGGAATTCAACCACAGCCTAACATGAAAATGAATAATACACTAATATTTTGGTAACTGGCTAAGAAAACTCCAGTACAGACACATTTTAAGGGAATCCTAATAGACATATAAAATTTCATCTTATTCTTATATAACCTAACTGTATGTCTGAGCCATATTGGGTAAATGAGTTCACTGTTTAAATAATATCTTTTTTATTATTTATAAATAATGTTATTTATAATATATATTTATAAATAATATTTCTAAATGACATAAATACAGGATTATTTATACTCTTTAGAAATATCTTGCTTAAAAATCTCATTCCTAAGTATTAAATTTGACAGCTGAAAAAAGGGTTTTAAGCCCACTGACTAAAAAGAAATAATAGACATTCCCACTTAACTTCTAAAAAATACTATTTTGATCCTAGCTTCAAATGTTTAGATACATACATGATCGATGAAGGAGCCAAGAAATTTATTCATAGTATGATATGCTTTTATACTCTGTTCAAAAGTACTTGCTGATGAATTCAACAGTCTAGCAGGGCCATTTTTCTAATGTGAAAAAGAAACAAAAATAAATGGAATGGCTTATGTTCTTGGTATTTTAACAGCATGAAATACTGGCAAAATATATTTGAACTGGACTTCATACAAACCCTTGTTAGTGTGTCATGAATTCTGTCATAGTGTTGTCTCATCTGGCTAGAAACTGCAATCTGAAAAGTTTGACCATCTGTGTTGGGTACCAAGCCTCTCTGGCTGCACAAATTTTCCTGAAAAGTTAAAGAATTTAAATCAAAAGCAAGATTATAAAAAATTTGCCCATCTCAAAAAAAACCAAAAAATCCAGCATTTTTCTTTAGTTGGTATTACACATTACAAGATTCTGAAGCTAACTGAAATTTTACCAAAATATATTTGAGAGCAAGAGATTTTATCATTATCCAAGATTCCCCCTATCATTCAGGTTTTACAAATTTCTACTTTGTTCTAATTCATACTTCCCTGCAGGTATTTATGTCATCCCCTTTACTCTGCTCTATTTTTTAGAAAAAAATCTCATACTCAGTTCATTTTACGCTGGTATTTTTAGCCTTCTTTATGATTAACCTTATTGTTCTTTAATATATGCTGAAAAGTCTAAGAATTAACTACTTTATTATAATTATAAATGGTCTTTTTTTGTTTTTTAAACATGGTTTAAATGCTTCCTTAATTAATACCAGTAAAAATGTAGTGATACATGATTCAACAGTTAAAAGTTTTGGTCCACATATCCTTGCCAAGAATTGAATTCAGACAACCACAAACACGTACACTTTTGCCCTCCTCTACAACCTATCCAATTTCCACTGATGCTTCAAGGCTCAGCTCAAGTTCTCTTACCACCATTGTGCCTATTCATTTACTCTAGAGCTTAATATTCTCCTTCTTTGTCTAAATCTAATCTGCAAACACAATATAGCAGTTGGTTTTCTACAGCCTTAAAGGAAGTCTACATGTACTGAATTACTCTATTTAAAAAAATTTTTTTTTTCCAGATTAAAAAAGCACATGCTGTTGTAAAGAACTTATAAAACATGGAGCAGTAACCCCCCCCCCAAAAAAAAACTCAACACCCAGAGAGATAGATATTTTAAGGTATTTCATTTCCAGTCCTTTTCCCAGGTACATACATATCTGTTGTCATCAAGTTGATTCTAACTTATAGTAACCCTACTAGACAGAGTAGAACTGCCCATAGGTTTCCAAGGAGCGCCTGGGGGATTCAAACTGCCAATCTTTTGGTTAGCAGCCATAGCTCTTAACCACTATGCCACCAGGGTTTCTAGTACAGGTAGAATAAAACTGTAATCAAACTGATTTTCTAAATTTTTCTCTTAAAATCATATTCTGAGCAATTCCCGTTATTAAATATTCTATAAAATAGGATTTTAATGTTGACCTAAGATTTCAATGTAAAAGAAAATCAATTTATTTCATATTCTATGTTTATGTACTTTTTTTGCTATTATAAATAACCCTGTGAATAACCTGAACCTTAATTAGCTTCTTCACATTGCTAATTATTTCCTTGAGTTAGATTCAGAGAATTAGTGAGTCAAAGATTATGAACTCTTACAAAAACTCTTCCTGTATACTGCCAAAGTGCTTTCCTTTTACACTTAAAAGTTTGTAAAAACTGATTCTGACACCAGTAGTTTAGTGTCCTTATCGTTATTAAGTATTGGTTTTTTGAAAAAGTTTGTTAATCTGAAGAGAAAAAACTTATTTATTTGTGAGTTAAATATTTTTTAGCAGTTTATTAGTCTCTTCTGTTTCATTGTCTATGCATTTAAAAAATATTTCGGTTATTTTTCCACTGAGGTGTAAATGTAATGTTTTAAATTTAATGTCTTCTTGACTTGTATGAGTTTTAATATTGTTATCAATATCTTTGCCACTTTTGTTGCAAGCATTTTACCCTAATTTGCTAGGTCTTAGTTACATGATTGTTAGATATGTAAATGTTCTACATTAATAAAGTAAAATAAATTAATATTTTATTTTTGATGCTTTCTATTCCTTATGCTTATCCCACAATGTGAAATATTCTTTTCTAGATTTTTATAGTTCCATTTTTTACATTTAACTTTCCAATCCAGGAATAATTTCTAATAGTTAACCAACTGATCCAGTTCAATGTATTAAATAAACAGTACTTTTTTGAGATGCCATTATTATGTATTAAATTCATTACAAGTCATAGGTATAGTCCCTTATCACTAAATCCTCTTGGTTTTCCTCTTAAATGTATCTTTTTAAAATTTTATTATGGAAATTTTCAAATATACACAATAGACAATGTTAAACCACCTATCACCCAACTTCAACAATTACCAACATTTTACCAATTTTGTTTCATCTATCCCCCAACTTCTTTTTTCTTGTAGTATTTTAAAGCATACCCTTTAGCTTAGACATTATGTTATTTCATCTGTAAATACTTTAGTATACAGTAAGTCCCCGTTTTACAAATGTCCAACTTACGGACAACTCGAACTTGTCCTTTAATGTTACATCATTTGTCCTTCACTTTGGAATGACTGAACCAACCCCTACTTGCAACAGATTCTTCATCACAATCACCATCACCTGCTGATTGTTGGATTTACAGCCAACATGCTGATTAAAAGGCTTTAGAGCCTTTTCTTGCACTAAAACAAACAAACAAAAATCCCCAAATTCACTGCCGCTGAGTAGATTCCTACTCATAGCAACTCTACAGGACAGAGTAGAACTGCCCTATAAGGTTTCCAAGGCTGTAAATCTTTACAGAAGCAGACTGCCACATCTTTCTCTTGCAGAGCAGCTTGAACCACTATGCCACCACGGCTCCTTTTTACACTGAAAAAAAAAAAAAAAAAATCAAGCTTGTTGCCGTTGAGTCTATTCCAACTCATAGCAACTCTACAGGACAGAGTAGAACTGCCCCACAGGGTTTCCAAGGAGCCGTTGGTAGATCTGAACTATGACCCCTTGGTTAGCAGGTGTAGCTCTTAAACAGTATGCCACCAGGGCGCCTCTTACACTAAGGTAAGGCTAAATAAGATCTATACACACCTGTTCCAATTTACCTACAAATTCTAAAGACACAGTTGGAAATGGATCTTGTTCATAACCCAGGGACTGCCTATATATCTCTAACTAATACCAAAAAAAAAAAAAAGACAAACCCATTTCTGTCAAGTCGATTCCGACTCATAGCAACCCTATAGGACAGAGGAGAACTGCCCCATCGGGTTTCCAAGGAGTGCCTGGTGGATTGGAACTGCCAACCTTTTGGTTAGCAGCCACAGCTCGTAGTAGCTCTTAACCACTGTGCCACCAGGGTTTCCCTCTAACTCATGAGGACTTAAAATATAAATAACCACTATGCAATTATCACACCTAACAAAATTAATAATTCCTCAATACAATCTAATATTCAGTCCATTAAATTTCACAGATTTTTTTCAAAGATTTTTAAAAAATAGTTGTTTGAATCACGATCAAAACAAAGTTCACACATCGCATCTGTTTTGTTTTTTACATCTAACAGTTCTCTCTTTCCCTACCACCATCCCTCCTTTTCTTTCCATGCTATTGATTTGTTGGAGATACCAGGCCTTTGTCCATTTGTGAAACACCTTACATGCTGGCTCTGGCTGATCACTTCCTTGTGGTGTTATTTAATTTGCCCTCCTACTCCCCTGTATCTCCTGTACACTGGTGGTTAAATCTAGACATCTGATAATATTTAGGTTCAATTTTCTTAGGCAAGGATAATTCATGAATGATGCTATGTACTTCCTACTACACCACAGCTGGAAGCACACAATGCCAATTTTCCCATTGTGACTTACAGTAAGATTGATCCAGTGTGTTCAGATTATGTCAACCAAAACCCTGATTATAAAGTTCCCCGTCAACATTTACTTGTTTTAGCATCCATTGAAGATTGTTGCTTACGTTCATTAATATATTAAACAAAAACCAAACCAAACCCACTGCTGCTGAGTCAATTCCAACTCACAGCGACCCTACGGGACAGAAGAGAAGAGCCCCATAGGGTTTCCAAGGAGCGGCTGGTGGATTCCAACTGCCGATCCTTTGGTTAGCAGCTGAGCTCTTAACCACTGTGCCACCAGGGCTCCATTAATCAATTAGGCATCGCAAAATGGTGATTTTCTAACTTATAATTCCTTCTACTTTCTTCTATAAAGAATTTTCCCTCATGAGTTATTTGGTTACTCTAAAATACAGTCCATATAGGAATTATAGGATAAAAATTTATTTTTTCCCTTTGTCAATATTCAGGGTGATGAGTTGGTAGCCTGGCAACTTTCAAAAGTGATCAATTAAGAAAAAAGTGATCAATAAAAATTATTTTTAAAGTATTATTAAAAATTTTAGATTAAGAAAAGAGAATCCATCTTTCAAAGACAAAAAGATGTAAAATCCATTCATACCGCTTCTCTTTTAAGATTCATATTCATCTCTTCCATATTAGTATCTGCATGCCCATGTACTGATCTACCATGGATATAATACCCAAAACATTTGTGGGATAAAAGAAACACTGATATCTATGAAAAGAGAAGAAAAAGGAACAATTAGCAACTTATCTGTAAAACAAACAAAAAACTTAAGTTTCTTAAAAAATTGTTTTCTTTTTTCTTAAATAAAAGGATTGGATCTTGGAAAATAAATGAAGAGGGTAATAAGTGAGATTTTTACAAAGTTGATAGAAAGGGAATAGAAGATATTTTCTAAGAAAAGAAGAAATTTGGATTGATACATGATAAATTTTCAAGGGCCCTGAGCTGAACTCTTTGCAGGTATAAAGAATTCATAATTAAGAAACTGCAAATAAAGAAGGAAAAACTAAGGTGGTTAAGTATTAACTTGCAGCTGATTATAACTATCTCTGGAATTAACAGCCAGTGGAAAATTAGACTAAAATCCAATTATCCCAAATCACTTTTAAAGCCTCTCTTAACGTACTCATGACCTTTAAAAAGGGAAAAATAATGGTTGCAAGACAAAGCCAGAAAGTACTTACATTGCTCATACAGCATAAATCAACGAACTGTCGAATTTTATCTTCTATAAATCTCTCATAAAAAACAGCAAAGAACACAATCTGAAACATTAAGCCAAGTTCATGCTTATTAGCTTTTAGGTTTTTAATTTTCTTTTATAGCCACACTGCAGTCTCTTAAAAAGAAAAAAAGTTCCAACCAAGAACACAAGGGCCCTCTAACGACTCCCGTGGGATAAAATCCTACACATCATTTCTGAATCTTCTGTCAAAGGAAGGAGAATTTTGGAACTGTGTTAACATTCATTAAGGGAACCTATTTTGAATTTAAAAAACTTTTCTGTATCACTAAAACAAAATAAGACAAGCATAGGGGAAGAAAGGAAAGGGCTTTAAAAAATGTAGGCTAAACCAACATATTAACAGCCCGGTTATATCTGGTTCTGCAATTTTACTCATCTCCTAAATTCTAGAAGGCATTAGAAAAATTTCTGCTTTTCAAATTAATCTCCTGTGACAGAGTAGCACAGAGTAGAATATATTAAATATTCTATTTCAACTACAGATAATGTGTTAAATATTCAAATGGAATAGTTCTAAGAGTTTTCTTAGATAGATTTAATAGCAATACTAGAAAGGGCATTAAAAAAAAAAAAAAAAAAGTTTGCATCATAGACCTTCCTCCTCAACTATGCTTCTGAGAAAGATGTTTCATAACCACCCTATTTAAAGCTGTCCCTGCTACTAAACCAAAGCTAAGAAGTTTCCTGAATACAATCAAATACTTTGAGAGACAGAGTAGCAGGGGTAGGGGTCTGGGGACCATGCTTTCAGGGGACATCTAGGTCAATTGGCATAACAAAGCTTATTAAGAAAATGTTCTGTACCCTACTTTGGTGAGTGGCATCTGGGGTCTTAAAAGCTTGCAAGTGGCCATCTAAGATGCATCAATTGGTCCCAACCACCTGGAGTAAAGGAGAATGAAGAACACCAAAGACACAAGCAATGTATTAGCCCAAGAGACAGGAAGGGCCACATAAACCAGAGACTTCATCAGCCTGAGACCAGAAGAACTAGATGGTGCCCCGCTACCACCAATGACCACCCTGACAGGGAACACAACAGAGTCCCTGATGGAGCAGGAGAAAGGTGGGGTACAGAACTCAAATTCTAATAAAAAGACCAGACTTAATGGTCTGACTGAGACTGGGTGAACCCAGGAAAGCATGGCCCCTGGACTCTCTGTCAGCCCAGAACTAAAAAGATAAGGGAAGTAGGCATAGAAAAGATACTCTGCTATGGTCATGAGACCTGAGGCTGAGAAGATTTATTTTAGTTTCAGTCATTCCAGTAAACATTTCAAATAAATTTTTCCAAGGGGTATTGACTATCTGAATGAGATTTATGATACATAAGTAAATGTAAATAGTAAGTTATGTTTCAAAAAGAAAATATGAAAGGTAGTTTAGCCATCCCTGTAGTTATATATAAACAAGGAGTCTTTTCTTAACCAAAAAGCTAAGACTCTGAAAGACCCTTCATACCCCACTATTGATAAGAACATAAACTCTGAAATAAGACTGTCTACATTCAAGTTCCAGTTCTGCCAAAGGTGCATGACTTTGAGTAATTTAACGCTTTTGTGCCTCAGTTTCATCTGTAAAATGAGGGTGTTAGTAGACCCTATCTCTAAAGGTTCTTATAAAGATTATGTGTAAAGTTAGTATGTGTAAAGCAATTAATTAGCACAGTTACTGACATGTAACATTATATAAGAATTAGCTATTATTATTGTCATCCTTGTCACAACCTTCTTTCTGTTATAGAAATTGGAATTTGGTCAATATTTGACGTTAATTAGTATGTAAACAGCGTTATAAATAATGTCTTCTTACCTGTATAATGCCAATGACTAGCCAAAGGGCAGTAGACACTGCATACCTCAAAATGCGGCTGTAAGGAGCTATGTAGCTAGATGGGCTTCTGGAAAGACTAGAGGATGAGTCCATTAATGCCAAGTTCTTGAATCCCACAACCTGGAGTAAAAAGGAAGAATAATGACTTAAACAGATATGGAGAAAAAGAACTCCTCTAGACTGAAAATGGGACACTCTCCCCTATTCATCACCTTGAAAAACTATGAAATATTCAACGCGTACAAACAGAACATCTAGATAAAAATCAGTATCCAGTATTTTAATTCCAAAGTATTTAATACAAAGTATTTACATAACCTCAACAATCTATGCAGTTAATTAATTTGGTATTCTCTTCAATGTAACTAAGGATCAAATATTACTTTATTATTATACACATGGACACAGCAAGATAACTCAAAAAGTTCTGCCAAAAGAACAAAGCTTTCTTCAGTAAACTACCAGTGAATCAAACCAATAACCAGTATTTCATTAATATTTAACATGTGCCAGATATTATGCTAAGTATGTTTTTATACTTTTAAAACAGTATTTTCCAAAATTTCTTCTAAGGAAGATACCTTCTCTGATAAAAAGAAGCCACAGTTAAATAAATTTGGTCTGTACATTATTCTCACCACGTGCCTCCCCTCCCTCATAAAGGCTCTGAGAAGTCTTGCAGTAAAGGAATCTAGCTGACTTTATTTAATCCAATGTTTTCCAAATTCACTTGACTGTAAAATTTGTTTTTTCATGTAACAACTTTGAAAGTTCCACTAAATACCCTTAGGGAATACTACTTTGAATGAATGCTTAAAGTATTAGTCACAATATTTAAAAGCACCAGGGACACACAAATTCTTCTTTTAGTTTAAAAAAAAAAAAAAAACAGATGGGGAAGAGAGTCAAAGGAAGGAAACACAGATGGAAGAATGAAGGAAGACACATAAACACTTACGAGTTAACAATTCGTATTTAACCTTATTTAAGCAGCCAATTCTTGACAAAACTTGTCACCCATATAAACAATTTCCATGTTTTAGTCTACACTCAGTACTGAATACTTCCTTCAGTAATTCCAACCAGATCCATGAAATAGCTGTAAATGTATCATAAGCATGTACCCATTTATTTTATCTTGTTTAGTTGTAGTCCCTGCTCTTAGCACAGAGCACACCACACAGGAGATGTTCAATAATAATTTGCTGAAATATTTCAAGCTTATAATAGTGGTTCTAATGCAGGGGTGAAAATATGAATTATGGAGGAGGGAGGTTTTTCAAAATAGACATACCTGGGCTCATATTAAACCCAATCTCTACGGGTGAGTCCAGGCAAAGGAATTTTGCAAAAGCTATCCAGTAGATTCTGATTCAAACAAGTAGTTTAAAGGACACCTTTTTTTAATGGCATGATAGCAGTATTTTCACCTTTAGAAAACTCATCTGCTGTCATGAAAACTAAGCTGTAATTCTATTAATATTTATGAGGTACCCATATATTGCACATAATTACATCGAAAAGTTTATACCTCCAAAAAGAAGATGACAGTAAGTACTTGAAAGAGTGGGTTAATTTTTCTCACAGTCTGAATTTCATTCCATTCATTTGCTACAAAATACGTTCTCCATATGCTTACGGGAACAGTAGCACTCCGTACACCACCCTCACCTGGTCAGAGAGAGAAAAATGAGTAAAAGGATTTCACCTTCTTTGCTCTGCAAATGTAGTAAAAGAATTTTGCTAAAAATGGTTATTTCAGTTACCTTCAACAGCTTTAAGAACCTTTCCTTTAGGTCGCTCCCAGTCAATAAAGAATATATCTATGGTAATCTGGGATATGAGCTTATGCAAAAACTGTAGAGCCTGAGAAGGACAATAAACACTTGAAAAGTACCAGCATTAACTCTGCTTATGAAAATAATATTGATATGTTCTGAAACAAACATACTGTAACCACAAGGATATACAATTTTCCCCAAATTCACAGGATTTTCATACACATATTAATTCTCTGCCGCTTTCTACTTTTCTTAAAACGGGTATGAAAGGAGACACATTACCTCCTCCTGACACAGAAAGCCTGGCCTAACTGCTTTCTTTTCCAAGGTTTCCAGAAGCATATTTTGTTTTCTAGATCAACTGGCATTCTTTCTAAGTAAAGATATTTTCATTGTAATTTGCTTGTCCTAAGTAAGGTTTTAGGGTGCTCTCAGTCTTTCTTTCTATCTGTGGTATTAAGATTTCTGATTTTTTTTTTTAATGTGATGTTGAAACACATCTTTTTCATTCACAGAAGTAGTGTTATGAATAGAATTGTGTCTCCTAAAAATATGTACTGTAAATCCTAACCTCTCCGCCTGTGGTTATAATCCCATTTGGGAATGGGTTGTCTTTGTTATGTTAATAGACAGGATTAGTGTAGAGTGTATCTTGAGGCAGTCTCTTTTGAGATATAAAAGAGATTAAATGCAAGCTAACAGGCAGAGATCCGGGAACAGACATGCGAGGCCACATGAAGCCAGGAGCAGAAGCTCAGCTGAGACAAGGACCTTCCCCCAGAGCCAACAAAGAGAGAAAACCTTCCCCTGGAGCAGCAACCCTGAATTCGGGCTTCTAGCCTCCTAAACTGTGAGAAAATAAATTTCCGTTTGTTAAAGCCACTCACATGTGGTATTTCTGTTATAGCAGCACTAGATAACTAAGACAAGAAGTATGTATAAACTCTGGGCATGCTTCCTAGTAGATACATTACTGATCAAACAAAGGATAAAAACTTAAGTATGAGATGATTCCTCTCAAGCATCTCAGTTCAGAGGGAAAGCAGACACCTAATAATCACAACACAGTGTGATGAGCGCTACCACAGAGGCATATAAAGGCTTCACATACACTGATGGGGATTGCTGAAGCAGGGGGAGGGGTTGCCTTGGGAAGAAGAGGAAAGGAATATGGAAACAGAGAAGACAACTAAGATTTCAGCACTTTATCCAAGTATTTGTCCTCAACTAACAGACACAAAATTCATGCCCGAAGGCATTCTGTCCCCACTGACTGCATCATCAGGCTTTAAAGAAGAAAAGTCATACAATAAAATACCATTTTATCAAATTAGCTATAACTCATGTTAATCCAAACATACTTATGGCTTCTTGGGAAAAATTATTTAAGGTAGATTTTCAGAATGAGATAGGTACTACAAAGAAAAGTACACTTTCCATGTAAAGTAATTCATGCTTTCTTTCAAAACCAAAGTAATTTTACACCAAGATTTTGAAAGCATTTTAAAAACTTACTAGTTTATTAGCAGGCCTTTTAAATTTGGTAATCTGTCCTTTGAAAACTTACTTTCAGAGCAAAAGCACATCCCACGTAAGTAATAAAACGTTCTTCCTGAACTGGCATTGGTAAGAAAACAGAGACAGACTTCTGTGCCTAGAGTAAAAATTACTTGGTTAAATATGATCATACAAGAGTTTTACTAAGCACACTTTATAAACCAAACAAATCATAAGAAAGGGAGATGATGATACACTTAATAAATATAACACACTCAGGAACAGTAAATTTAGCACTTGCCTTAATACTCTATTGGAACCAACCAAAACCAAATCCATTGTCATCAAGTTGATTCTGACTCATAGCAACCCTATAGGACAGAGTAGAACTGCCCCACAGGGTTTCCAAGGCTGTAATCTTTATGGAAGCAGACTGCCACATCTTCCTCCCATGGAGCAGCTGGTGGGTTTGAACCTCTGACCTTTCACTTAGCAGCTGAGTATTTTAACCAATGTGTCACCAGGGATCCCTCTAGATCAGAAATGCCCCCAAAATAGTTCAGTTATAAAGAGAGCTTATCACAGTTATTCAGTTATTGGCATTTAGATTAAATTCAGAAATTCACTTACTTTGAAGAAAATAAGCCAATAAAGACCTATTCCCACTGTGATGATAAAGAAAACATTGGCCAGATCACCAGCATAGTACAACAAGAATTTCATAACTGTCTGCAATTAAAAAAAAGAGTTATGTTAAACTTATTAAAGACTCATTTATACTACCATTTTAAATAACATATCATCTACCCAATTTTTCAAGCTTGAAACCTTGTTTAATGTATCCATGTTATCATTCAGTTATAAAACCAACTAGGTCTACCCCCTAGATATCTTTCTGATCCTTACCTTTTGGTCCACGCCCAATATCCTCTGTCTTATGTAAGCCCATCTCATCTTTCACCATCTAAGACTGTTGGAACAGCTTCCTAATTTTCTCCTAGTTTGCAACCTTCTCACCCTACTCTATTCTCCATGCTACTATCAGAGTTAGCTTTCTAAAATGTATATTAGGTTATGTCACTGTCCTTCTTAAAAATGTATAATGACTCTTCATTAACCACAAAATATAAATTCTGACCCACCAGGTTCTTCACAACCTGGACCGAAATTAACTTTCTAGCCTCATCTGCCAGTCCTAACCACTTATCCAAAGCTTAACTACTCCATACTTTCATCTCTAATACTTTATGAAATGAGAACTGTTTTATCAAATGTTCTTCCCTTCTCTCTGGCAAACTCAGCTCTATGGGCTGAGACCATGTCTGTCTTTGCTCTTCCCCACCTGTACCTAATATAGTACCTGGCACTTAAATGGTAGGTCCTCAGTGACTAGTTGTAGAATAAACAGATAACCCAGCTTAAAGTTCACTTCTTTGGGAAGCCTTTCTTGTTTATCCCAAACAGTAAATTGAGCCCCCACCCCCCACACACACTCGATTCCTTAGCACACGGGCTTTGGGGTCAGGAAGCTATCCCAATATAAACAAATTACTATGCAGCCTTCCTTATACTCCTCATCAGCAAAATTAATATCTACTGCTGGCTTGCTATAAAAATTAAAAAAGTAAAAAATTTACTTCCGCCTCAATTTCATCACGTGAATAATAATAATAAAACCTAACTTCATAAGACTATTGTGAGGATTAAATGAATTACACATTTAAAGCCTTAAAAGTGCCTGGCACACAGTACTCAATAAACGTTAGGTAAAAATATTTTATATATATATATATATATATATATATACACACACATAAAGATTAAAAGAGAATGAAACTATAGTTAATCGAATAAAATGCAGAGGAATATCCTTGTGATCTTGAGACAAAAAAGGTCTTCCTAAGCAAGATCCTAAAAAACACATACCATAACATAAAAAAATTTCAGATGTGACAATGTCAAAATTCTGCTAAACAAAGGACCACTTGCATTAAAAAAAAAAAAAAAAAAAAAGATGGTCATATATCTGGAGATAATATTTCAACATCAAAAACCAAAAGGGGATTCATATTTAGAATATACAGGAAACTTCTTCAACTGAACAAAAAAAACTGGAAACCTAACAGAAAAATGGGCAAGGGATATAAACAGTTCACAGAAGGGGAAACCCAAATGATTAACCAGCATATGAGAAGTAACCAGAGGAATGAAAATAAATTAATAATGAAATACTACTTCACATCATCAGATTGACAAAAACTGAAAGGCTAGAAAAATATCAAGTGCTGGCAAGGATGTGTGGAAATAAGAACAGCACTGTTGGTGGGAGTGTGGACTGGTATACAACGATGTGGGAGGGAAATGAGGTATGCATATATCCTATGACCCAGAAACACCTCCCCTTAGTCCTATACCCCAGAGAAACTTAAGTCCTCCAACTGTGTATTATGAGAAGGACCCCGAATAGTTAAAAGATAAAAATTAGCTTAAAAACTCCTGAGATCATACCTGTAAATCAATCATGGGACTTCCAAGGCGCCTCTTCCATCCTGCTGTCTTCAAAAGAGACAATAAAACAGCTAGCCCACCCAACACACCTAAAGCAATCTAGAAAAAAAAATAACATTTTAGAATTTATGTAATTTGTCTCATAAATGTTCAACCTTACTGTAAATAGTAAGAAAGTCCTCAAAAAATGATGGGGGGGGGGTATGTTGAAGGGACACAGGAGCCAAGGTGAAGGAATTCCCAATAGCTAAATCTGGGACAATCTGAGGAAGAAAAAAGATAGTAGTGGATTATAATCGCTACAATAAAATAAATATCTATGAGTGCATACTGATTTAAATAAATAATTGAATGAAAAAATAAATGGAGGAGGAGGGGCAGCTCTTCCTTACAACAGAATTCCAATGAATAAATACAGAAGGAATGATGGGAATAGAAAATCACCATCAAGCACATATCACGGTAATACTTTCTAAAGGCAAGAATCATCATTTTAGCATGACTGCTAAAATTAGAGGGTAAAAGGATGATGAGAAACAGGATATTTGCAGTTTCAAAGTATCTCCTCACAAGATACTTATTAATTACAAGGGGAGGATTAACAGTGGAGAAATCTACAGACACCACCTTAGCCATGTGATCCAAGTTAACACAACCAGTAATAAGACATACTAACATCAATGTACCTCCTGATATGATGCACTGAGAAGGGCACAACATCATTTCTGTGCTATCTTTGCCAGAACTACATGAACTCAATCTAATCATAGGAAAATATCAGGCAAACCCAAATTGGGGGCCATTCTATAAAGTAATTAACCAGTACTCTTCAAAAGTGTTAAGGTCATGAGAGACAAAGAAAAACTGAGGAACTGTCACAAATTAGAGGAGACTAAGGAGACATGACAACTAAAAGCAATGTGGAATCCTGGTTTGGGTCCTGAAACAGAAAAATGATAACAGTGAAATTCAAATAGTATGTAGATTAGTTAAGAGGACCGTATCAATATTAATTTCCTGACTGTGAGAATTGTAATATGTAAGATGTTAACATTAGGGGAAACTGGATGAAGGGTATGTGGGAAATTGCTATACTATTTTGCAACTTTCCGGTACATTTAAAGGTTTTTTTTTTATTTAAAAACATACTGTAAATACTTTAACAGGTTAAAATAAACTCACATCTGTCTGGACATGTGCCTCTTCTTGATTCATTTCATAGTTGACTGAGAAAGAAACCTGGTATTTAAAAGGAAGCAAATTAGCCATACTGAAATCATGTAACACAAACCTACTCTCATTATAAAAATACATTTGGAGCTAGATTTTACAATAAATGCCATATTTTTTAACTATCAATATTACTAGAGCAGACCTTTATTTATGTATAAGTGGATATGCTTTCGGGAATTATCTATGCTGCTTTAAATATCTCTTTTGAACACACATTAAAGAAAAAGGGGTTCCTCAGAAGCTAGGTGTCGTGGTTTGAATTATGTCCCCCAAAAAATCTAACGGTTTGGCTAGGCCGTGATTCCTGGTACTGTGTGATTTTCCTGTATGTTGTAAACCTGCCTCTATGATGTTAATGAGGGAGGATGGGTCGCAGTTGTGTTAGTAAGGCAGGACTTGATCTACAAGACTATATTGTGTCCTGAGGCAATCTCTTGAGATATAAAAGACAGAAGTGAGCAGTGAGACAGGGGGACCTCGTACCATCAAGAAAGCAGTGCTGGGAGCAGAGCGCGTCCTTTGGACTGGGGTCCCTGCACCGAGAAGCTCCTAGTCTGGGGGAACACGGATGAGAAGGCCGAGAGAGAGAGCCTTCCCCTGGAGGTGACACCTTGAATTTGGACTTTTAGTCTACTTTATTGTAAGGAAATAAACTTCTCTTCGTTAAAACCATCCACTTGTGGTATTTCTGTTATGGCAGCACTAGATGACTAAGACACTAGGTTAGGTTCATTAAAAGTAATTCAGGCCACACTAATCATATTTTATTTTCTGATAGGTTTCTGTAACTGAGGACTGTGACTGACCTTATGCATCAAAAACTTAGCAACTGGATAAACAATCATACCCTAAGAAGGCAGATTAATCAAAGGGCATCAATAAGATTAATCCAAGATTAATTAGCCAAAGGGCTGAATAAGAGTCTTAGGGACATTACTACATTAAGGGACAGAAACAGAAAGAAGAACCAGTAAAGGGTAAGAGAAGTAGGACTGTAGGAGGTAAGAGAGGTAAAATGCCTAGGACTTATTACAGTCATGGAATAGGGAGTTTCACGAAGAAGGGGGAGGTTATGAGTACAGCGTCTAATATTGTAAAAATGTCAAGTTAATGAAATAAAAGCCACTTTATCTGGAAGTCACAGCTGACCTTCATGAAACAGGTTTTCAAAAAAAATAAAATGGCAAGAACCAGACTTCCAATGATGAGAGAGTAAATGGTTGGAAAATGAAGGAAAGAGATACAATAGCAGGCTGAAAAGCTGGCAGAACTGAGGGAAGATTTTGTTTGTTTGGTTGATTTAGTTAGTTTTTAAAATGGGGCAACCTAAGAGCTTGTATAAACAAAGGAAAGGGACCATCAGAGAGGCTGGCTAAATAAAGAGTCGGGGTGAAACAGGATATTGGAGAAAATAATGTAAATAGGTAGGAGCTTACCTTAAGAAAAGAGAAAGGGATCTTGTTTCTTTACAAACAGGAATAAGAGAAGGGAAGGATAATGAAGATGGAGATTTTGAAGTTTAAAGAGGAAATCTGAGGGAATTCATATTGTACGGGCTTGATCTGCTCAGCAAAATAGGAAACAAATTTATTTGCTGTTGTGTTGGTCGGAGCAGAGATGCAGCTGGATGCTTACAACGAATGTAACTTTTTCCAACAGCTGTCATGAGACATTAACAAGAAATGATGAAACAGTTTTATGTTTTACAATTAGAATAAATTAGAAGTGGGTCTCATCAGCATAGTTTTATGATTCTCTCAACTCTTTATTTCTTATTTTCCAGTTTGTTAAAAGGTTAGTTTGGAACAGTTTAGACAAGGATAATATTTAAAGAAAAGACCCCGAAGTGTTTTATACCAAAAAAGAAATACTCTTGATGGAAAATTTGGGGAATGGATAAAGGTGACAGTTAACATGATGAACAAAATTAATGTCACTAAGCTGTACACGTGAAGATTACTGAAATGCCAACTGTTTGTTACATATATATTTACCATACAAACACACACACAAAAAAAAACTATACACACACACATACACTCTTGGTTACCCACGATCACGCCAGGAAATTTTAAACCAGGCAGTCTTTTGTTGTTACTAAGCATGTTTCTGGATTTCCTTCCCCTCTCATTACACTCTATACAAGCTCAGGTAGTGGAAACTAATTTTAACATCAGATTAGGTAATACAAATGAGGAAAAGAAATCTTTAAGAGTTATATTATTCATCTACTTTTTGTTTAATTAAAGACTGAATCCAATAGCAAATGAGTTAAAGTATAATAGAGAGGCCAAAGGCACTACTGAAGGAACTATAACATGAAAATTCAAAAAAGCAAAATAGTAGAAATTAAAAGCTATTAGTGAGCCTTGGATTAAGGAATGCTTATCCTCCACTTCTCATGTTTTTAGAGAGGGACAGGAATATCCACTCAATCTCTAGGAGGAAAAAGCATAGAAGAATAACCTCTGGTTTTTATCTCTACCCTTCTCTGATTGATCATCCCTCCTCAAAGCAGGGATACTTTATCTGACTGATGAGGTTGAGAGGAGGAACTGAAACTGTGTGGCTCAGCTTTCTCCAGGCTCCTTCTCTTCGGGATGGTCTATCTTCAGGGTGTACAAGGTTCCCCAACCGTGTACAGGCCCTCCCAAGCAGGAGGCCTTTAGTTCTGTGGTTAAGTTTAGTTCAGGTGGGGAAGTAACAGGAAGTCCATCTGGCTTCAGGTCCAAACTGCATTCTCTACTTCACTCTAGCACTATGAGTTATAAAGCTGATCATTTTGATCTCCTGCCTATCAAGTGGGCTATGGGTTGGTGGGAAGAGAACATACATACCCCATGTAAAGTTTAGGTTCCTGGTTTAATTAGGCAAGGAGATAAAATCTTAACAGAAGCAAGGTGGCCAAAAACAAGAGCAGATGTCACATACCTCAGCATATCCCAGAGTCCCTAACAGGGACACCTGACTGCTGGTGACGCTGTCTACTAAAAAACTTAATTCTTGCATTTTTATACTCAGAATTCTCACCATTAGTAGTAAAAAATAGCTAAGATGACTATATCTAGAGAAGGATTTATTTGAAACTTAAAACAAACTGTCTTTTGACTATAATGTAAACTGCATCTATATGACGTTAGCACATACAAAGGCACTGAAATAAGAACTCACCTTCACAGACTGGAGATTGGGATCTTTGGTATCAATGTCACTATAGGCAATGGTAATCAAGGGGGGATAGATGTTTCCATTTTTTGTATTGGGTACGAGGTGGATGCTAGTTAAACGAAAACACATTTCTAGTTATAAAGACATCTAGGTCCTCAAATGTAATTTTATATATCCTTCCTTTTGAATTTAATATGGATTGTCTTGATGATCTCAGAATCAACCAGGTAATAAGGACTGGGAAAGATTAAACATAAACTAATGATAATAACATAGGCTATCTTAAGTAGTCAAAACTTTAATATTAAAATCTTATGCCCTCTGAGATAAACTAGAAACACTGGTCCTTGATCCAGGTGCTACGAAGTTTACAAATGAAATCACTGAACACTGTAAACTATCTCTGAGGAATTCTCAAAAGAGATATGCTACAAGAAGCCTAGAGAAAGGCAGATAATATTCTGATTTTCAAAAAAGAAAGACGAATTCTTAACAAAATAATATGTGTCAGATCTAGTACTGTTTCTGGCACATGGTATGTTACATTTTGCTGAGTGTAATGCATTAGTACTGTAGTTTGTGAACTCAGAAAGGAAAGGGTCAGTCACTAGGGGGCAACCTGGTTTTACTAAGATCAAGTCAGGCCTGATTAGGTTCTTCCTTTTTTTTGCTAGGGATATGACATTGGCAGGTTGAGGGAATTCTGAAAACACAGTACATTTGGATTTCAGCAAGACATATGACAACGCTTCTGTACTGTGTAGCTCATTAGATTGTTATGAGAATCAAAACGAAATAATGAAGTGGGAAAAAGTTATGTATACTGAAGTGCTTCAAAGTTCCAAACTAACACGAGATGGTGGTGTTGATTTTCATCAGTGCATTCAAGGAACATATCATGAAATACAGGTGTAGGAAAGTCAGTCAACATCTTAAGACAGGAATCTCACAATGGAAAAGATAAAGAAGTAAAGACTATATGACACTACCCTAGGCAGGGTCATAGTTAAGGTATTACCCTATAAAAAGGGAAGTAGTGATAATGAATCTAGGTCAATCTAGAACAGAGGCTCTTAAAGGAGACGAGGAAAGGGAAGGTATGCCTATTACAATTACCTGTAGCACTCTTTCTAACGTACCATTTCACCCCACTAGTATTCATCTTCCCTAACTTTCAACCCCATTCTAATTAAGAAAGTCTAGAGTGGGGTATAGACTATGAATTTTAACAAAACTACTAAGGATATTCTCATAAAATTCTCCCCTTGGCTCCTCACCTCTACTGGTGTATATCAATCTATACAGATATCTTTAAAAAAAACCCTATGGTATTATTCCAATTCAGTTATCCTTATTGTTTTCATCTAGTAACTAATGGTAAACATTTTCATTACGGTATTTTCCCATATACTCCAAGCCTAATTTAGTGCATTGGACATTTGTTTACCTCAGTGATATTTGGGTAGCAACTCGAATTACTCTCGGTTGACTTCCTAAGTCATTTTCTTGTCCACTTACTGCATCCACTAAGAAAATGCGCCGAGTCAGGAGCCAGTTACCAGAACTACTGTCTTTTATTATAAAAAGAAAAAAAAAAGATTGGCATTAAGAAAAAAAAACACCCTTGCTGAGTACCCAGGAGAAAGAAAAACATATGTCCACACAAAGACTGATACATGGATGTTCACAGCAGCATTATTCAATACAGCCAAAATCAGAAACAATCCAAAAGTCCATCAACTGGTGAATGGATAACAAAATGTGATATATCCATACAATGGAATATTTTCAGCAGTAAGAAGGATTGCTAGTGATACATGCTGTAATATGGATAAACCTCAAACAACATTAAGCTAAGTGAAAGAAGGCAGATGTGAAAGATTACATATTGTATGCTTCCATTTATATGAAATATACAGAAAAAGCAAATCTGTGGAGACAGAAGCAGATTAGCGGTTGCCTGGAGCTGGGGGTTGGAATGAGAATTGACTAGAAACAGTTATGAGGGATATTTCGGGGGTGACAGAAATGTTCTAAAATTGGATTGTAGTGATAGTTTCACAACTTTGCAAATTTACTAAAAATTGTTGAATTGTCCACTTAAAATTGGTGTTTTATGGTATGTAAATTACATCACAATAAAGCTGTTTTAGAAATCTAAGGAAAAAAAAAAAAAAAAATCCCCCAATTGTTCAAGATGACTCACAAAGAGTTTACTGAATAAATTTAAAATACAGAGCTAATACATTTTGTTTTAGATAAGATGGCTGCAAAATGAGCTACTGCTGTAAGGCATTCTATTAATGGTTTTCTCCACCTCACGGGAACGTCTTCTGATTGTTTTGACTTTTCATCATTTGGAAGAATTTTCCTTGGAAGTTACCTGAATAAGCAGGATTTTACAATATGGAAAACAATAAAACAAATATGTCCGAAAAGCAGCTCAAGGACACCTAGAAACAGCAGCCCCAATTTACAGTTCTACTGATTTTTCTCAGAATATGCTCCTAAAAATAGCTTTCTTAACAATATTCCTGACATATTTAGTAAAAATATCTAAATACACCAGCAATTTTATTGTTTTGCTTTTGAGCATGCTGTATAAAACCATATAATAAAAGAGAACCCATGACTTTCATCATATCTATGGTTTATTAAGTTATTGTACTGGCTGATTTATCTAACGGTTTCTGCTCAGAAGAAAGAGTATGGATGTCTTACCTTGGTTCACAAATAATTTATTGTGTTGAAGATTTAGGTTTAGTACAGGAACAGCCCAAATATATTGGTGTTGATTTTCATCAGTATATTCAAGATACACATCATAAAATATAGGAGTTGGAAAGTCAGTTAAGATCTTAGAAATAGGAATCTCACACTGGAAAAATAAAATTAAAATTAAAAATAAAAACACCACAAGTGAAAATTAGAAGTCATATTTATTACCTTTTAAAAAGTGATTTTATTTTTTTTTTTAGTTTTGTAAAATAAAATATCTTTAAGCTATCTTGTTCACTTGCATTTCCATGTGTGTTCCAAAACATGGGAGCTCTAGTGGTGCAGTGGCTAAGAGACTGGCTGCTAACCAGAAGGCTGGCAGTTCATATCTACCAGCTGCTCCTTGGAAACCCTATGGGGCAGTTCTTCTCTGTTCTATAGGGTCGCTATGAGTCTGAATTCACTTGATACAATGGGTATTTTTTGTTTTTTCTAAAACATGAATACTGTAAATATTCTTCTATAAGAGGGAAAAAAAAAAATAACAGTAAAGAACTGCCTGGTTCTTGTTCAACAACCTAGCTGGGGAGTGTGTGCGTTCATTCTCAACATTAAGTGTTCATTAGTGAAAAGGTTTAAAAACTGTCCTACAAGATGAGGTCCAAATTCCTTCTCCTGATGTACAGTGCCATCTATGATCTGGCTTTCAATAACAGAGCCAGGCTTATCTCCCACTACCCACTACCAGTTTACGGTCCATTCATACCTGCAGTTCCTTAAACATGATGTAATATTCTATGCCTCTGATGGTGCAAATGTTGTTTCCTCTGCCTGACATTCCCCTCCCCGACCGTGTTCACCTGGCAAACTCATATTGAGTCTATAAGCCCAAGCAAGTATCACACACTCCATGAAGTCTTTCTGGATTTCCTCAGGAACTGTTGATGATTCCCTCCTGTGTACCAATATGGTACTCATAGAATAGCACTTATTATGTTCTCTGCAATTATTTCTTTATATAGCTGTTTTGTCTACTAGGCTGTGAACTTCTTGAAAGGCAGCCAGGTTCAGTGGAAAAATCACGATTTTTGGACCTAACAGAACAATGGCGCCACAACTTACTTGCTGTAAGATCTTCAGTAAATTACCAAATCTTACTGAGCACCATTTCCTTATCTGTGAAGTACAGATTTATGTACCTTACATAGCTATCTTAAGGAACAAAAGCGGTAACACTGATAAAATGTTGAGCACACAGCAGCAGGTGTTTAACATGTGTAGTTTCTCCTGACCTATGGTAAACTCATTGTCGTCGAGTCAATTCCAATTCATAACAACATTATAGGACAGAGTAGAACTGCCCCATAGCGTTTCCAAGGCTGTATAATCTTTACGAAAGCAGACTGCCACTTCTCTCGTCTGCAGAGAGGCTGGTGGGTTTGAACCGCCAACCTTTCAGTTAGCAGCCAAGTGCTTAACTATTGTGTCACCAGAGCTCCTCTGAACCATGGTAGGCACACAATAACATTTCTTTCTTTTCCTTTTTTATAATATAGCATTCATTTCTGATACTAAAGGTTAGGAAACCCTGGTGGCATAGTGGTTAAGAGCTACAACTATTAACCAAAAGGTCAGCAGTTCGAATCTACCAGGCGCTTCTTGGAAATCCAATGAGACAGTTCTACTCTGTCCTATAGGGTCGCTATGAGTCAGAATGCACTCGACAGCAACGGGTTATGGGGTTAATAAAGGTAAGTTGTGTTCATGGTAGAATATTTGGGAAACATAAAAAAGTGAACCAAAAAAAAAAAAAAAATCATCTGCAACCCCATCAATCTAAAGATAACCACTGTTAAAAATATTAGCTTATTTTCTTACAATCTGCTTTCCAAGATGGTACTTTACATTGTGGTTTTAACAAAACTGGAATAAATTTTGTTATATGGTGTGTGCATGTGTGTGTGCATGAGTGTGTGCAGAGCTTTTTGCCCTATCTTTTAACATTTTTTCAAAAAGCATTTTCATAGACTATTGAATGTCTTTCAAATCCTTAATGGCTCATAATATTCCTTTGTACCATATTACAATTTCAACATGGGCTACCAATGGAAGGAAGGTTGGGGAGAGAGGAAGAGAGAAAAGTATGGAGGGAGAGAAAAGGAAGTATTTTTCTTCGCTATTGGTAGTGGGGTAGAGGAGAGAGAGTAGCATTTTTATTAATCACCGAAAATAAAGTATTTTTACTTTATTCCAGAATGCTAAAAACTAGGCATTATTTTTAAGACCTTTAATTCTAAAAGCAAATAAACAACTGCCTGTAAAAATTTAACATTACATTATGTTTAGTCCTTGGGTGGCACAATGGTTAAGTGCTCCACTACCAGCCAAAAGGCTGGCAGTTCGAACCCACCCAGAGGTACCCTGGAAGATAGGCCCGGCAATTTTCTTCTGAAAGGTCACAGCCTTGAAAACCCTGTGGAGCAGTTCTACTCTGTACACACGGGGTTACCATGAGTCAGAACTGACTCAATGGCAACTTATAACAACATTATGTTTAAAACTCTATAGATAACAAGGTATGGACTTTATGCTGATTAAATTGAGATGTTCTGTGCCCAAATATGTTCCACACTCAAACAATAAAAAAATTGTATCAATCAATGAAATTATGCATTTCTACTGAAAATACTTCCAATGTCAAAAATTCAAACGTTATTTCTATTATTGCTGATATTTTTAAAAAATTAAGCTAAAATATAGACTGTCTAATACAGTTTACACTTACATTTTGTTGATAGGTTGTTCCAAAAGAATAAGCAGCATTCAGTCTTGTCTCTGTGTCTGGACAAAGCTACAGCAGAAGAATAAAACTGATAAATATCTTTCACAAGGATATAAAAACGTTTTCTTAGCTTACAGCCAAGAGCTCTCAAGTCCCAAGGGAGATACACACTTCATATAATTCTTAATTTATATATCAAGGGTATGAAAGTTAAGGGAGCATCTTTATTATAAATTAATCATAATTTGAGGTGAGATGAGAAGGCAGAGAGGGTCAGGAGCTGGTTGAATGGATATGGGGAATCAGGGGTGGAGAGCAGGAGTGTGCTGTCACAGTATAGGGAGAGCAATTAGGTCCCATAACAATGTATGTATAAATTTTTTTATGAGAGACTAACCTGAACTGTAAACTTTCACTTAAAGTACAACAATAAAAAAAATTAGTCATAATTTAAAGCAGTTTTAAGAAATTCCAGTTTAAAGCACAAGAAAAAATCAACTGTAGCATGCAACTGATACTCTATTTAAGCGATAATCCAGTCATTTTCTCTTACCTTTGCCTCAGTCAAAAATAAGACACAACTACTTCTTTAGCAAGAATCGTGCTCACCTGTAAAACACCTCCTTCTAAAGTTTGCCACTTGAGAAAATTTCCTCTTATATCATAAGAAGCAGCAACAAACTTCAGTTTTGTATTCTGATTAAAGAAAAACAATAAAATAATATTATATGCTCTAAAGCAACATAATAAACATATAAAGAAATTTTCATTGCGGACTGATCCTTTCTTTTTCCAGTGATCAAATATTAAACTCAACTATCTTTATTTTGAAGCTAAATTAATCTATCTCTATAATCAAACACACCTAAGAGAACTGGTCTAGTTTTTGCATAAAAACCATTATTTCAGAATTGAGGGGCAGTGCTAGTGAAAAAGAACCTCCCTTTGAACCTGTTAAATGGTAGAGGAGGAAGTTAGCAGGAATAATCTTATTTCTTCATCCTAGAAGGTCAAAAAATTGGGGGTGAGAAGCTGGACCTGTGAATTGCTGGGAAATGTCACAGAGCCCCAGTCAATCATTGGAAGGCACTTCTTAAACATGTAGAGATACAGAAGGACAGAGATTGTTTTGTACTTGGTAATGAAAACTACCGTTCCTGGCCCACAAGCACTCATTTCTATCATAATCACATAATCCACAGGTATTCACACACTCAAACAAAAGAGCTAAACTCTATATTGTTCAGATCGTGTAAGCAGCTGATATTTATATTTAGTTTAGTAACTAATATTCTAAACAACCTAAAAAAGTAAATTATGACTGGAAATTTTCTTACTACCTTTTTAAATTAAAAATCAAAATGTAGTCATTTTTTAATGATACAGTGACTTGTACCTGGTTTTGCCCTTTAAAACTGAAATTTGTAGGAAGTGGTATAGTACTGAGAACTTGAGGTGCTAATCCTAGCTGGTCTCCATAGAACAGCCATGGAAGATTCTGTCTCCTATAAACAATTAAAATTGTTTTAAAAATATAACAAGGAAGCAATATTTCTTATATTTGTGAAAGTAACATTTTGACTGAATTTAGTCAAAATGATGGTTCACCAATCAAAACATTCTTACCAAAATGAAACATAATGAACAGTCCTTAATCCAGCAGTGTTTTCAAAGATAAACTGAAAAAGTCGACATGCATCAAAAGTGGCAAAGTCGTAAGAATTCATGTTCATCACACACATATTTCCCAGAGCTTGGCAAGATGTTAGATTGGCATACACCTACAAGAGAACAATGGCAAATAAATGTAACACAGATCTTAATAGCCTAAGCAAAAGCTGATATGAAAAATTATGCTTGGTTTTAATTTTACTTATTATACTAATTCTTTTTTGTAAGTTCTTTTGCCTTTCTAATACCTTTCTTCTGTCTTAAGCAGAAAAATACACCTTTTCATATGGCAGAGGAATAATGCACATTTTAATTTCATGGTAAAATATAAAGCCAAGCTAAAATGAAAGAAGAACTAAGTAAAAACTTATAGCATGACATTTTTTAAAAAACTATAAAATAGAATATTTATATTTGAAAGAAATAATTTATTTCCAAATAAGATTCTATACATATAAATCTATTCCATTTTGTTTAAGTAATTTGTTAAATGAACAACAAAATAAGATCATTTGTTGCTTTTGCCCCTCAAACGTTTCCTTTCTCAGGTTTCCCTATCTCAGGAAAAGGCAACTATAATTTTCCAGTTATTCATGTCAAAAGCATTGGGGTGATCTTTCTCCCTCTTTCCACATTTAACTCATCAGCAAATCTTGTCAGCTCAATTTTCAAAGTATATCCAGAAGCTAAACACTTCTCATTTCCATGGCTACCAGTCGTCTAAGGTGCTACTACCTCTCACTTGGAACTACTGTAATACTCTCCTAACTAGTCTCCCCTGCTTCTATCCTTGACTCAACAAAACCTATTCTCCATGCTAGTGATCCTTTTAAAACCATAATTTAGACCACATCCTCCTCTGCACAAAATCCTTCTAACTCTCCTAGCCAGAAAAAAAAAAAAAAAATCCTTGACAACTGAATTTTTTTGTAGCAGACTTGCCCAAGATTTCATTTTACTTGGATCAACAATTAATGCCCATGGAAGAAGCCGTCAATAAATCAAATGACATATTACATTGGGCAAATCTACTACAAAAACCAAAAAAACCCATTGTCATCGAGTAGATTCCGACTCATAGTGACCCTATAAAATCTTATAAAATCTTAAAAACCAAAGATGTCACATGTATGAATAAGGTATGCCTGACTCAAGCCATGGTATTTTCAATTGCGTTAAATGCATGCGAAAGCTGGACAATGAATAAGGAAGACCAAAGAACTGAAGCCTTTGAATTGTGGCACTGGCAAAGAATATTGAATATACCATGGACTACCAAAAGAATGAACAAATCTGCTTTGGAAGAAGTACAACCAGAATGCTCCTTACAAGCAAGAATGGAGAGACTATGTCTCACATATTTTGGACATGTTATCAGGAAGGATCAGTCCCTGGAAAAGGACATCATGCTTGTTAAAGGAGAGGATCAGCAAAAAAGAGGAAGACCCTCAACGAGGTAGACTGACATAGTGGCTGCAACAATGGGCTCAAACATAGCAACGACTATGAGGATGGTACAAGACCGGGCAGTGATTTGTTCTGTTGTACATATAGGGTTGCTATGAGTCCAAACTGACTCGAGGGCACCTAACAACAACAACTCTTAAACTTCAGGTCCTTGCCACAGCCTCTCCCTGCCTCTCTGACCTCATCTCTCTTTCCCTGCTAACTCTGCTCCAGCCACTCTAGTCTCCTTGCCGTTCCTTAATCATGAACAAGTCAGCAAGCTCCTGCCTTGGAACCTTTGGTCTTGCTTTGTGTGGCCTCTACTTAGAATATTCTTCCTCTAGATATTTGCATGGCTCTCTCTCACTTCCTTCAGGTCTTTATTCAAATATCACCCTTTCAGAGGTGCTGTTCCTGATCACCCTATAACAAACAGCACCTCCTCCCATTCTCTATATTTTTTCTCCGGATTTACTTTTCTTCACAGCACTTAGCACCATCTGACATTTACTTAGAATATAATTCCATAGGAGATTTTGTCTGTCTTTTTCTGAAATATATAACCTGATGTGAGAACAAGGCTTGGCATGCAGTAGGTAATCAATAAAACATTTACTAAATAACTATATGAGTCAGTTTCCCCTAACAATTCCAGTGGAATAAGCCTGGAGACATCCAATTGGTGTACAGTGAATAACATTTTCTTTACGTATTCTCTTTCAATCCTCTAAGAAGGATTTACTCTTCTTAAAGAATATGATGAAAGAGATATACCAACTTAGTTAGAGAGAAAACTTTTATCACTGGGGGAATATGGTACCATGATTCTTCAAAATGAAATAAAACATTAAAAAAAATTCAAACTTACCCAACAAGCAGCTGCTGATGACTGCAAATACTTTGCAAACCATTCTGAAGTTAAAGACATGCCCTACAAACAAAAAGATGCATTTCAGTTTTAAATTCAAATGAAGATTTCTTAACCCCACACACACTTGGAAGATGTTAGTATGTATACTGTTAAACAGGAAAAGAGTAACATTACTCTTTAAGAAAAATCATCTATAGGAGACCAAATGGTCAAAAATTACTGTAAAGCAAGGATGAGAAGGTAAGGGGGCAGGGAAACTAGAGTACTGAAAATGGTACAGCCAA